GTTCACTATAATGACTAACAGAATCACACAGTTGGTTCTTTGGTTCACTGCACTGCTTAGTAGGAGGACTGTTCGCCTCATTTTCGCGGTTCGAAGCATCATTCTTCTGTGGTTCGGTACACTGCTTCGCGGGTGATTTGGCTCGTTCGCCTGGAGGGTTTCCCGGTTTGCCGCGTCGCTTTCGCGGTTTGCTATAGAGATCGCTGGGGTCGATCGGCAGTTTCTTCCCACTTTCCTCCTTGATCGCTTTATCCCGCTGGTCTCCCTCCGCGCGACCGCAACCGGCGGCACAACAGCAATTCCGTTGCTCGCTCTTTCGATCCGTCGTTTTGGGCGAAGATATGTCAGGTACATCGACGTAGAAGGTGCTCTTGCTTTTTTTTCTCTCCAGGGTCAGCGGAAGCGATTTCACGCCACAGACGCGGCGGGTAACGGGCTCCTCTGCGTTGCTGTTTTTCTTGCAATTGACGCACTTGTTACTTCGAGGCTGAGCATAGTGGCGGTCCTCCATGCTCTCCTTGGCGTGGGCGTTGGGGCGACCGCGGCGCTCGTTGCTGTTCCTCAAGGAGCCGATGTGGTTGTCCATCGTGCCGAAGAAGTACCTCAGGAGCGGCTTGGACGGAGGGGGGCGTGGCAAGGTCCCCGTCTCTGGTGACGTAATGGGTTTGTTATTACGGGGTTGAGAGTAGTGTGAGTCTGGGACCTTTTCTTCGGCGACATTAGTAGGAGATGATTTGGCGTTGGCATCGTCGCTCAGAGGTTTGGCATCCTGCAGTTGCGCGTCGGTCTGACTCATTAGCTTTGCTTGTCCTTGTCCCTGATCCTGTCCCTGACCCCGGGCGGCCTGCTTCCCTTCTCCTTGACCCTCATCTTGACAGTGGCTTTCGCGGGGAAGGGCGCCGCACTTCTGATCGTCCTGAACCTCCCCGTCTTGTCCTTGAGATCTGCCGCCGCCATCCTGAGACCCAGCATGCACAGAGGCCTCCGAACCTGCGTCTTCGGCGGGAGCCTTCTTCCCCCCCAGCCCTCCGTCGTAAAATCCGAGGGCCTCCGCGATGCCGATGGAGGCGGGGGACGTTGGCACAAAAGCTCGGTGGAGGAACGACCTGTTTGGCACCGGAGTCGCGGGAGCCGAGAAGGAGCTCGAGGCCACCGCGGGCAGCCCTGGCACCTGCACGCCCACGGCCCTTGCGTCCTCGTCCTCGGCACGGGCGTTAGCAGGCGAGGCTTGCAAGGGCGGCTCGCATCCCAGGAAGGACAGAGGCGAACGAACTCTCCACTTCAACATTGCTTTCAGATCTGCACTAAGTCACTCGTGTATAAGAAGTCATTTTAGTCACCTATAGTTCCAAGAATTAAATCCACAAGTAAATTATTTTCACTGCATTGCTATCAAACACAATTCAGTTTATCAAAATCTTTCAAATCAACGTCCCAACCACATCTCCCGACTCCCCTCAACACTCATACGTACACACACGAAGACTCACGCCGAAACCCACACACAGAAACACACATAAACTTTCCCTTAAAGACCCACCCACGGTAATATATTCACGGCGCTATTGGTAACGGCAGGAAGCGCATGGGCGGCGACATTAAATTTCCTGCAGGATTCCCGTGTCACGTTCTCAGGGTAAATCTTAATTGGCTATGTGCGCACCGCAGTTATTACTGTAGTAGGGGGGGGCCGGGGAGGGGAAGGGATTGGGGGTTGGAGGTAGACTAGCTTGGCTGGGGGGAGGGAGGGGCAGGGTGGGATGTAGAGGGTCACGAGGGAAGTGAGGGGGGGGGGGGTGCCAGGAGAAGTGGAGCTGGATTAGGCACCGATGTGGACGGAAGGTAGTTGAGAGAAATTAGGGGAAGTACACAGCCATGCACACACACACATACATACACACATATATGTGTGTATGTATGTATATATGTATATGTATATATAAGTATATATAAGTATATACATATATGTATATATAGATATATATGTTTGTGTGTGTGTGCATGGTTGTGTACTATATATATGTGTGTGTGTGTGTGTGTGTGTGTGTGTGTGTGTGTGTGTGTGTGTGTGTGTGTGTAAGCATATATGTATTCGGCTGTTCAGTAAGATGTACTATCCGTAGTATGAATGTATATAATTATGTATGTATTTATATGCGTAAGTATAGATGGATGGATTGATGTGTATATGTATGTAAGTATATCTAATGCGTTCTTTAGTAAACTGCACGGAATACGTATTTCTTTTAAATATATTCAAAAATATGTTTAAGAAAGGGCATATGCGACATAAAACACCACACCCATTCGTTTTGTTTGTTTTTATCACTCATTTCGTAACAGGCCGGAAAGAGAAGAAAAGGGAAGCAAGAAATGAAGAAATAAGTTGTGGAAGGCGGGGAGGGGGGGGGGGGGGGGGGGGGGGGGAGGAGAAGGAAAGAGGATGTACACAAAACAATATGGGTCGCTGAAATTGATATCAACCGCAAAGCAATTATGTCAACCGCAAAGCATGGAAAAGGGGGAAGAGGAGAGAGAGGAAGAGGGGAAGGGAGAGAGGAAGAGGGGAAGGGGAAAAGGGGGAATGGGAGAAAGAGCAAAGGAAGAGGAGGGGAAGGGAGGGGGAAAGGGGGGAAAAAGGGGGGAAGGGGAGAAGGGGGAAAGAGAGAGAGGAGGGGAATAAGAGAAGGAAAAAAGGAGGAAAAGGAAGAAATCAGGAAGAAGGGAAGGAGAGAAGGGAAAGGGAGAACTCAGGAAAGAGGGAAGAGCAGGAGGGAGAGACGGGGAGAAGTCGAGAAGTCAGGAAAGAAGAGGGGGTAAGTCAGAAAGGGAAGAACAGGGGAAGAAGGAAAGGGGAGAACGGAGGAAGAAGGGAAGGGGAGAACGGAGGAAGAAGGGAAGGGGAGAACGGGGTAAGTCAGAAAGGGAAGAACAGGGGAAGAAGGAAAGGGGAGAACGGAGGAAGAAGGGAAGGGGAGAACGGAGGAAGAAGGGAAGGGGAGAACGGAGGAAGAAGGGAAGGGGAGAACGGAGGAAGCAGGGAAGGGGAGAACGGAGGAAGATGGGAAGGGGAGATCGGGGGAAATCAGAAAGGGAAGAACGGGGGAAGAAAGGAGGGAGAGAAATCAGGAAGGAGGAAATGAGAAATGGAGGGAAGAGAAGGAAGAGAGAGAAAAAAAAGAAGAAACAGGCAGAAACCAAAACAGTGAAAAGTCAGAAAAGGAGGAAAGAGAAAACCGAAATAAGGAACCAGCAACGAAAAAGTGAGAAAGGAGACGAACAACACCAACAAAAATAATAACAAAAAAACAAAAGCAAAAAAATAAACGGAAAAGCGTCGAACGAGCCACACGCAAGCGACCGGCCAGCTGCGGTCACGTCAACACAGAGGCACAAGAAACGAGCGATGACGTCACAGGTTGCAACGTACGAGAAGCGAACGGACGGAAGAAACTGTCCGTTACTACGCACCGTCCATGTTGAGAATGAAAGGAAGAGAGAAAGAAAGGGATGGAAGAACATGGAAGAGAAATGAAGAAGAAAAGCATGAAAGAACAAGGAAGAAAGAAAGAAAGAAGGAAAAGGATGAAAGAACAAGGAAGAGAAATGAGGAAGAAAAGAATGAAGGAACAAGAATGAAAGAAAGAAAGAAAATGATGAAAGAACAAGAAAAAGAAAAGAAAAAGAAAAGGATGAAAGAACAAGATAAAAAAAACAAGATAAAATGAAAGAAAAAAGAAATAGAAGGTTAAAGAAAGAGAAAGAAATGTGAAAATAAAGAAAAGAATGAAAGGAAAGATAAATAAAGCGATTAAAGAGGAAAGAAAGAAAATGGAATAAATAAAAGGGTATAGGAGGAGTATTACAATAAGAAATGCAGAATTTTGATGATAAGCGAAGAATTTTTAAAAAGATAACTTTTATGAAGCGAATGTGATGATAAGCAACAAGCAATAAAGATAATAAGCACAAAGACCAATACAATAACGCTGATAAACAGGAAACAAAAAAAAAATAATAAGTAAATTGAAAAATAAAGGGAAGTTATCAAATCTAAAGAAAAAAAAATGAAAATCCAAAAAAAGAAAAGAAAAGAAAAACACGAGATAATGCAATAAAAAAATGAATAAAGCAGAATTATAGATAACGAAGGAAGTGACTAGGTTCCCGGAGAGGAAGTGGGGGGTGGAATCGAACAGTTAAGTCGTTCTATAAATTAATGAATAATAAAAGAGTAATGAAGACAAGGGACGTGACCTCAGGAATTCACTTCATGAATGACAAATACTCACGTTGCTGACTGAGTGAAAAATGTGGAAAGACGGTCGTTGTAATTTGAATTGACTGAGACGAGCTATTTGGTAAACAGATTATATATATATATGTGTGTGTGTGTGTATGTGTGTGTGTGTGTGTGTATGTGTGTGTGTGTGTGTGTGTGTGTGTGTGTGTGTGTGTGTGTGTGTGTGTGTGTGTGTGTGTGTGTGTGTGTGTAACCAAATAGTTCGTTTTGTTAAAGAAAATTACAAAGAACGTCCTTCCACAACATCAATATTTGTCATTCATAAAGTGAGGTCATATCCTCTTGCCTTCAGTGTTCCTTTATTATTCACTCATCAATTTGTACATTTATAGTAAAACATTCAGAGAGAGAGAGGGGGGGGGAGAGAGAGAGGGGGTGGGGAGAGAGAGAGAGAAGAGAAAGAGAGAGAGAGAGAGAGACAGACAGACAGACAGACAGAAGAGAAAGAGAGAGAGGGAGGGAGAGAGGGAGAGGAAAGCGCCCCAGGAAAACCGGAGAAAGCCAGAGAGAGAGAGGGAGGAAGGAAGGGTGGAGCACAAGAAGGAAAACGGGCGAAAGAGAGACGGAGAAATGACGAGCCAGCATAGTGAAAGTGTCAAGCTGTCTCCAAATATCTCACAATGACCCTCTCCAGACAATAGCCCGACTCCGCCTTGCCCTCTTTATCTCAAGTGTTTCTCCTTGGAGGGAAATCTTA